ATCATGGAAATTTATAGATAAAACTCTTTCTTTTTTTGGTTTCGGGGATAGTATTAGAAAATGGATAAAAACACTACATAATAATGTTTATTCTGCAATAAATCAGGGTGGGAATCTATCTACTTTCTTCAAGGTTAAGCGCGGCTGTCGCCAAGGAGACCCAGTATCACCTTACATTTTCATATTATGTACAGAAATATTAGCAACCAGGTTAAGAAACAATAACAACATAACAGGTATAAATGTTAATAACTTTCCTATTCTTCTCTCTCAGTATGCAGATGATACTTCGCTGATACTTGACGGTTCAGAAAAATCTTTACGGGAATCAATTTTGGAACTGAATTTATTTGCTCATATTTCTGGTTTAAAAATCAATACTAACAAAACTCAGGTAATATGGATAGGGAGTAAGAAATACAGCGATGACACTTTTTTACCAGAATTAGGTTTACAATGGGGTAGGGAAAAATTTACACTTTTGGGGATAGACTTTAGCGTTAATTTACATGAAATACCTAAATTAAACTTTGACAAAAAATTGATTAAACTTAAATCTCTAGTTAAGTCATGGAGTAGAAGACGATTAACTCCTATTGGGAAAATACATGTGATTAAATCATTATTAATTTCACAATTTAATCACTTGTTCATTTCACTACCCAACCCAAGCATTACTTTTATTAATAAGTTAAATACTGTTATATATAACTTTCTTTGGAATGGCAAAACAGACAAAGTGAAAAGAAAAGTTATAACTAAAGATTATTTTGAAGGTGGTCTGAAAATGGTCAACATCAAGTCTTTTATAGATGCTCTAAAACTAGGATGGTTAAAGAGATTTTTTCAAAATACATGTTCTAGAAAGTGGCAAGTAATACTTATGAATATTATTAATGTTGATTTTATTATGAATTGTGGAAATAATTACCTACGTATGTGTCATAGGACATGCAAAAATGTGTTTTGGTGTGATGTTTTCAAAGCTTGGGAAAGATTATTAAATTCTGATTTACCAAAGGGCAGACAACTCTCTATTCTGAAAACCCCCTTATGGCATAACCCACATATAACTATTGGTGGAAACTCTGTCTTTTACAATAACTGGTATGCTAAGGGTGTTAGAGTGATAAATGATATGTTGAAAAATACAAATCCTGTTACTTTCTATTCCTACCATGAATTTGCACAGAAATATAATATATTTACAAACTTTCTTCATTTTCATGGTCTTGTCAAATCTGTTAAATTAATTATTGATACACAAAGGATTCAGGATATAAAACTTCTACTTCCTTTCATTCCTTTAAACATAGAACCATTTTTTGATAAGACTCCAGGAACAAAATATTTATATAAAATATTATCAAAGAATGATGAAATTCCAACAGGCAGGAAAAAATGGGCAGATCAATTTGACTTTGATAATTCTAATTGGGCAAATATTTTTTCCCTACCTTTCAAAATAACAAACGATTCAAAACTTCAGTGGTTTCAGTTTAGAATTTTACATAATATTTTAACAACAAATTCACTACTATTTAAGGCAAACATAGTTGTAAGTCCACTTTGTACTTTTTGTAAATCAGAGTCAGAAACCATAACTCATATATTTTGGGAATGTCAAAAAGTTCAAAATTTACTGCAGAGCTTGGAAATACTCTTAGACGCACTTTTGATTCCTTTTACTATTAATAAAGAATCATTTATTTTTGGGTTCTGGTCAATTAGAAATGAGTTCAGTAAAATTGATAATGAAATTAACATCATCATTAAACATTACATTTACAAAACCAGATGTCTTGAAACCACACTTAACATAAATTCTCTTATCAATTTATTGAAAGACCACCACAATGTCAAAAAATACATAGCAACCGCTAAAGGTGATGCTTCTCTTGAAAGTTTTTACAGAGAGTGGGGAAAATGGAAAAAAGTTTTACTTCTTTAAACTTAAATTGAAATGATTTCTATATCTAGACCCATTCATATCTATTAATGGACTCTTGAACTCTGACAGTTGGTTAATATAAAACTTTTATACTTGTTTTGAATAGATATTACTATCTTTGAGCAAATGTTGCCAATAAAACAATTGTCGATGATTTAATTTCAACTTCTTTATTTTTGGAAGGCCTGTCTCTCTCAAATCTGTCGTCCTTGTCTCTGTGTCGATTGTCTTTGTGCGTATATGTCTTGTGTGTCTGTCTTTGTATGTCTGTCTATCTGGCAGTTCTTGCCTGTGTCTTGTTTGTCTTTGCCTCTGTGCACATGTCTACTTTTGTTTTTGTCTGTCTTTGTTTTTCCAGTAATTATCTGTCTGTCTCTATTTCTTTCTTTCAATAAAACCACAACACATGACTAATAGGATTAGTGTTTATTCCAATGTTTTGAAATGACATCTTGGATAGATTGATAACATATGCGCTAATACATATATACTATCATACTAAGGTAGTTGCTTGTGTATAATATATTGAATGATAGTGTGAGAACTATTCATATACATTTTTTTTAAATGTACATCATGTATAGAGATGAATATTTTGTACAGAACTGGTGTATATGAAATGTTAAATTATGAATGTTTCTTTACTGATGTATGGTGTATATGAAATGTTAAATTATGAATGTTTCTATACAGATGTATGGTGTATATGAAATGTTTAATAAGAATGTTTCTATACAAATGTATGGAGTGTATGAAATGTTTGATATGAATGTTTCTATACAGATGTATGGCATGTATGAAATATTTAAGATAAATGTTCCATACTGTTGTATGAATGTTTCTGCACAAATGCATGGTGTGAATGAAATGTTTAATATAAGTGTTTCTATACGGATGTATGATGTGTATGACTTTTTTTTTTATATAACTGTTCTTTACAGGTGTATGAAATATTTGATATGCATGTTCTATACAGATCTATGTTGTGTATGAGGATATATGAAATGTTTGAAATAAATATACCATAAATTAGCATGCTCTGTTATGATCATGATAGTACACACGATCAGTAACTCAGATTAATATTTTCTTCAGACCCAATACTTAGAAAAGTGGGTATATGAAATGAGTATGGTAAACATGAAATGTGTATGGTTAACATGAAATGAGTATGGTTAACATGAAATGTGTATGGAATGTTTAGGATGAGAGTACAGTGAAGTATGTTATAGTCTCCCAAATATTGTCATGTGTATGTGCTTTGAAAAACTGAATAAAAATATAAATTAAAAAAAAATTAAATTATTACCTGATGAAATAAGTTTAGGGTTATTTTTAATTCTAAAGGAACATGGGGAGAGCATATTCATGATATTAACAAAGCATGTATTAGACTCGACATATTGAGAATGCTTAAATATAAAGTTTGGAAACATTATTTTATTCTTGTAAAAGACCTGATAACTGTACCATTGGGGAATCTGATCTGCTTGAATTTATTCAAATTGAAGCTACACAAATTATAACGGGGTTAAGAAGTGCGACATCTCATCGAAAACTATATCTTTAGGTAAATATGGAAACTTTAAATCTAAGACGTCATAAGCTTAAAAATTAATTCTAATGTATAAAATAATAAACCGCTTAATTAACACCTGACTATCTTTATAATATTATTGGACCTTTTATTAATAATGATAATAATCCATATGGATCAAGAAATACTACATTCTTTAGTGTACCTCAAGCTCGAACTCAAATCTACCACTCTAGTTTCTTTCCTGATACAATGAACCTGTGGAATTCATTAGATCCTTCTATAACATCTGCTAATTCCCTTACTACGTTCAAACATAGACTTAATAATAATTATAATAATCATCTCGATAACATTTTCCATATCTTTACACAGTGCAATCCTAGGAATCTTAATATAATACTTTGTCAAATCAGGCACAAAGCAAGTGACTTAAACTTTGATAAATTTAATTTTTACTGACCGCCTTATTCAAGATGGCAGCTGTTCTTGTGTAGCTCCGCTTGAAGATGCTGATGACTTTTTCTTTTTCTGTCCAAATTATTCAGATTTCAGGCTTGATTTTTGTGAAATAGATACAATGTATTAGGTTTTATTAGTCTTAAAATACTTATATCAGGTGATAATGAGCTTTCACAAGAAATGAATACTTTTATTTTATCTAAAGTTGAGAAATGTATTCATTTAACTAATAGATTCATCTAACTTGAATATGATTAGTATATTTTTATTAAAAACTTCCCGTTAAATCAATCTAATCCGAGTGTGTACGTGTGTGTGTGTGTGTCTGGGTTAGAAGTATGTATGTTGCAAGTGGCGCAGTACTTGTGCATAACATGGAAAGTGACCTAGATATCTACTCCACTAGTGGATGAGTGAGCCCTTTTTATTTTGTGTGTATAGTTCAACATTAAGCATATTAATTCAAATATACAGTGTATATACATATTTTCTATAAAAATTGTCCATTTATTTCATAATATCAAAAAGTAATTAATTATCGTTAATTTTGTTAATGTACCTTGTTATTCTTTGTAAATGTATGTTGTATCGTTTCAGGAGAAGACTTATATAGGCATTGCCTGTTGTGTAATCCTTTTGTTCACACGGACTTAGATTCTAATCCGCATATATATCGTTTAATCTTTTAGTGCAGTGGCCTGTGTTATTATACAACTTCAGTCTGCGAAGTATATAGGTAATATTTATACGTCTCTGCTTCAGTGTATTTTATTTAGCTCACCTATATTTTATTCACCCATGTACAATTTAGGCCTATGTTTATTTGCATGCTATGTTTTTGTTTGTTTTGAATTATACCTTTGTGTGTTGCAGAAATAGCTCTACTGAGCTAATGTTTTTTTATGTATCTTGGTATAATGACAATCAATCTATTGTGCCTGATCCTTGCTACACCGGGAACTGGCACGACTGGCGCACCAGAATTAAATTCGCCCATTGGTCAGCGTCACTAAAAGTCTTCGAGATTTACCCTTGATATTAAGCGTTTTAATGACGGTGTATCATACAGGACGGTAATGTCAGCAGCGGGACTTTTGCATTGATGCCCGTGATATATTGAGGAAAAAATCAGTTTCACTTCGATCAAATTGAATCTTTACGCAGCAAGATGAATTTATTCGACCACGTGAAGCAGCTGCACGATTCAGAGTTATACCAAGACTTATGCCAACTGGTAAATATGGCGATCGATTATGATGAAGATTCATTTTTCATCACCGTTCTTGTCAGGGTTCTGCATATGTAAGGAAAGAAAGATAGGCAAAGAAAAGGAGTATTTAATAAATGCTTAAAAGGTGAAAGCTTGCAGTTTACATTTACAAGAGGGCGGTTTATTCCAGTGATTGTTCTGGGAAACAAGGCTTGTTTTCTACAAGTGATTTTGGAATGGAGTGTTTGGTAGGAGATTGCATGAGGAAATGCTTGTCAGTCATGTTTGAGGAAGTTTTGTTGAACTGTATTGTGTGTAATTTTGTACATATCTACGACTGTCTGAAGACTGTGCCAGCCAATGTCTAGTCACAAGGGTGCGTTACAAATGTCTGATATACACATATGCTATTGATACTGATATGGGTTACAACACACATAAACAAATGTGTATGTTTATATGTGCTGTGACTCATATCAGTGTATTTCAGACATTTGAAAATTGTACATTGTTCTGATGACGCCCCACCTAGTAGGCCAAATTATGTAAACTGGATTAAAGTTGCAGAGACTTCCCATTTGATGTTGTCTAGTCATCTTTTCCTTCCAAGTGCAATATTGTTTTGTCAATATCTTTCAAATAACAAAACAATCAAATAAATCCCTGCATGTTTAAACTGTGAATTTCATTGTAGGCAAGTGTTGTGATTACTCTTTGTGACAACAGTACCGATGTGGAACTGCTCACCCTTCAGCAGCGGTACCAATGCATGGTCTACTACGGAAATGCCCTTTACAACATGTCACAGTACCTAAAGGCAGAGGTAACTTCAGGCTTTCATGTGTAAAATGTATTACAGTATACATCTGTTTGTTTGGAAAAGGGTTGTTTCACCATTTGTTTATGGATTTGTTTTTTAAATGTGTGTGGTTAACTGACTCATTGAATCCAAACAATGTCCTGTTTAACCTGTGTTTTTATTTTCTGATGTACATTTTTTAATTATAACCAAGACAATATATAATGCATTTTGAGATCAATATATTGGTATCCAACATCATGAACCAGAATGGGTAGAAATTGAAAAGTGGTTTCAATAACTCATTCTGTGGCAGTGAAACAACATCTTTTAATTATACAAAGACATGTTTTTTGTCAATTTGTCATTTAGATACATGCAGTTATAGATATATATTTTATTAAAACAATCAATTAGAAGGTAGAAAAAGTTTTCATCAATGTTACATATATCAATTGTAATTGGTTAAAAAAGAAATTATGACATTGAAGCTAAAGACTTAATCATATTTGTCTGCATAATTATTTTTCTAGTGTTTACTAAGTTTCATGAATTTAACCTTTTTGCAGGACACATACAAAAAAGCTATAATTCTGAGAAAAGGTTTCAACAAGTCAAAGGTCAAAGGTGGGCCACCATGTCACATGGTAAGTACAGCGTAGTGTAAATCTATTGTATAACTATTCTACCACGTTTGCGATGTAACAACTATTTTCATTGGTTAATAACCATGGATTATTGGATGACAGACCATGTGCAATCGTTAATCTAACACTCTTCCAAAAACCTCCCCTGCAAATATACCTGTAAACAAGCTAGTGATGGGACTAGTTTCATTTGCTGACGAACTCAAAGTCTATGTTACCCCCTACATGTAGATCTACTTTGATTTAAACCTTACAAGATCATGGTCAGAATTTTCCACTGAACTTCTATTAATTACTGTAAAGGTGACTTGAAGTAGTGTTAGTAAATCTGTCAAATGCTGATTTCATGTGTTGACAAGCAGTGTCGATAGATTAGTGGATTTGATTGATTGAAATACACATCTGGCATAAAGCTTGGCCCTTGACATCAGTATGTCGACCGAATGGTGACTGAAAAATAAAAAAAATACTTCCAAAATATATGCAGGTAAAATAGAAAAAATACAACAACTGCCCACATTTCAGCAATGTTGCCAATATGAATGTTTTAACGCTGAAAATATTTGAAGAGTCAAAACGTATCGATTTCAATTTTTACAGACAATTGAAGGAACTACAATATTTTCTTTGTTGTTGTTCTAAATAGATCAATACATCATGTTATCTCTTCTTTGTTTGTTTAACATTAATGTAAGAATTCAAAACTATCCAAGGCAAGCACTAACTTTATATACACTGTAACTCAGATTTATAATTCCATTGTAATTACTAAGGGAGATAATAACCTTTACAGGAGCTGACATCGGAGGTAGAAGTGAAGTATAAGATGTACCAGTGTCTGCTCCAGCAAAAGCAGTACAAAGAAGCTATGTCTGTGGTGAGTGTTTAAAGTCGGCCAACATGTTCTTCATGTTAAACATTTTGTAACTGTATTGTTTGTAGACCATTATATTTGTATTCTTTAATGTTAAACATTTTGTAACTGTATTGTTTGTTGTTATAATGTTTAAGTTCTTTAGTAAGGTGTTTCACCAGTGAAATTTCTTTCACATGCAGTAGAAGTGATTAATATAAGTTAAAAACCTTAAGCTTGTTTCGTAATACTAGTAAAACAAAGTTACTAATTGAAAATCATATTGTTAGTCATTTGTCAAATTATCTATCATTTAAAAAAAATAAATATTCGACCAAGATTTAAATTTATATAATAGTTACAGAATATATATAAGGAAATGAATAATAACTGTTTGAAAATAAAAAGGACAACAAAAATTATATATGGTGTCCTTGTCTGTTCCTTGAAGTTGGAGGGCATCAGCTCACGTCAGAGGAACCCAAAGATTCACTTAGCCCTCGCCAAACTGTACCTGAGGGCGGGAATGGACCGGTCAGCAATAACCAGCTACAAGGAAGTCATCAGGTAAGAATTGTGCTGAAGGGGTTGAATTAATCTGGCTAATTATAGACGTTTCTGTAATGACTCCGTACATATTACAAACACTAGCTATCTAGTCGGAGACCAGAAGAGTTCAGCATACACTAGCTACATTGTATATAGTGACACATCCATTCATGTTTTCACAATTTTCTTTTCACTGATAGATAATAAGGTACAGAATTTACAGAAATGTTTCATGCATAGATGTTTTGCATTATGAAGTTTCAATTAATTTGTTCATTTCATGCTGGAGATATTACCCTCAGGAAATCTTTAACCTGTAATATTTGTTGACAAAGGACCAGCATAACTTATCAAACTAGTCCTGTACACGACTGGGTATAAGAAGTGTCTGACCCTGTGTTATTACTTTATATTAGACTTCAAGTGATAATGCCATCAGACTTCAAGTGATAATGCCATCTTCGTATAACATTTAATATACAGTTAAGATATGGGCTTTAGGGATATAGCACGTTTGTGGCTCTCAGAGACCTATCAGGTCTATTTCCCAAGTTCTCATCACTGTTTTATTTTACAAATACACAAGACATTTAACAAACAAACAAAAAACTTTCAAATCACAATTTCTGATTATTCCACACCATAGGCATTGCCTAAAGATGAAAAAGGTGGTAAATAGACAATGTCACTGGGATGTCAGGAACAGCCAATATAGTACATCATTGGCCAGTCCTTTAGTTACAGGTTGTGCATTTAGTTACAGGTTGTGTATTTAGTTACAGGTTGTGTATTAAGTTACATGTTGTATATCTAGTTACAGGTTGTGTATTTAGTTACATGTTGTGTATTAAGTTACAGGTTGTATATTTAGTTACAGGTTGTGTATTTAGTTACAGGTTGTGTATTAAGTTACAGGTTGTGTATTTAGTTACAGGTTGTGTATTTAGTTACAGGTTGTGTACTTAGTTACATGTTGTGTATTTAGTTACAGGTCGTTATAAAATCATGTTTCGTTGTATTTGTGTCCAATAATTAGTTTTCCAGATATTTTATGAATGTAGAGTGAGAATGATACCCTCAAGCTTGGAATGGCTTGGTATCATGAACTTGTAAATGTCAGTAGTTAATTTTTAAATTGTTAAAAGACATTTAGCAGTCATTAGCTTATATGTATTTGCACAATTAGATCACTGACAAGCTCAAGTTATTGCTATATATATAATAGTGGATAATTCATCTATTATGGTGAATCCTATTCTGGTATGCTCTTTATATAAATAATATCAACCAAAATACAATTATTGTAGTAGGGAAGGGAAACTTATTATTAAAAAAATATAAGAAAGATTTATCGATGAGAACAAAATTGATATGTTTCATTAGAACACAGTGTTTGATACAAAAATATTGTTTCTTTTTACAGGGTTTGTCCACTGGCATTAGAAGCTCTCAATGGTTTGCTTGGCTTAGGGGTCAAGGGGTCAGATGTGGCAACCTTGGTGATCAATGGTCTTCCGCATGGTACCCCTAATGATTGGTGAGTGGCCCTATTTACAGTTATTTAATGCATTCCCTTGGCATAGTCAAAATTATTTGATCTGAGGTGCTGATAGTCAGATAGCTGACAATGTGTAAAAGTGTACAAGGCCGTCAAACTATATACAGAGTTACAGCCCTTTGTTCAGATTTGATAACAAAGTTTGGTTGGAGGTAGGGGACTAAAGATTGTCCTAATTTTATACTTTGTTCGTTTATTTATAAGTTGAATGAAATGTCATCTTATAACTAAATAAGATAAATCTTATACATACATCAGTTTTTGTTAGCATAGTTGCACATGAAAAACAGTTCTAAAGGAAATTTTGCAAACTATGATCATATGTGCATTTGAGTCTGGATATGAATGTGTGAGATACTACTGTGAACATTCAGACAGTGATGAGCTTGTTCATATGCCAGGCTTTATAATTTTGTCATCAATAGCAATGTGTGTTATAGGACTATTACAACATTTGCTAATACATTCATTGCTTAAATGTATCTTGTACAGGCTGTCCATGTGGATAAAGGGCCAGGCACATTTGGCGTCGCGGGAGTTCAGCAGTGCTGTGGCAACGTTTCAACTGATGGACACCAAGGCATACCTCAAAGACAATGTCCTCCTGGTCAACAGCCTCGCGGAAGCCCTCTTCTACGATGGTCGCTATTCTGGTGCTCTACAAGCCTTCCAGAGGGTCTGTCACAAAAAATATAGCTCATACATATGTAAAGGGTTCTGTTCAATCATTATGAAGTGAACCATGGTTCTTTTGACAGTCTTTCAAGGAGGGTCTTTTATAAGCCAACTAAAAAGAATAACAGCATTTTATGCTTATAAGAAAAACATATCACTTTCTCAGAATTGATTTCATAGGAAAGGTACCTATATACCTGTAGCAATTCATTAAGAAATGTTTGGATGCAAGCATGGTAGATCAGAATAGTTCACCATTTGTATAGCCCCCCCCCCCCCCCCTCCGAATCCGCTTGTCCGTCTGTCTGTAGCCAGAATTTTCCAGGCTTTGCATTTGAAATGTTTTGTGCAGTGATCGATGACAGTACCAAATTATGTAATTGTGTTGGATAAATATGCTCAGGACGAGAGAAATATACGCATAATTGAAAGTTCAGGTAGCGAGAATAACATTTCCATATTGTCATTATACAGTTAACTTGTTTGAATAACCTTATCCTTACCTCACATCAGGGATGGATTCTATTTCTTGCTTATTACCTAAAACTCGTAACAACAGCTGCTCTTCTAGTAAAGTTGTAAACTGTCCGCACATTTTCCATTTGCATAGTGAGCCCGGATGTCAATTGTTAGTGACGTCAATGACCCTGACTGACCCTAAAACATCATAAAATGACGTCACGAACAATAGCGTGACACCGAAAGGTCCCCATAATTCCCCCCGCCAGTCTGCGCGTGTAAGCGATCTAGACCCGTGGGTCGGATAGAATTTCCAGCACCGCCGGAAATGCGGATATCTCGGTCTAGTATGCAAGAAATGCTGATACATCTTGAGGAGTGCTACACAATTATGTGTATGTAGCTGATTGATTACTGTGATCTGTATTTTTTGCTTCACTTACTTCAGTTTTCCTTTGCATTCAGGTTTTTTTGTGTGAATAGACTTTACATTTACCTCCTCTTTTCTGGTATTGTTATAATATATTGTCACCAATCTTACATGCAGATACTTGTACTTCTTAAGAAGTACTGCACCACCATATGACATGTAGCTATAGATCCCTGTAAGCTGTATTGTACTCTTGACTGACTTGGTTACTGTTGTATTTATCTCTGTTTTCATAAAAGAGGGAGCACCAGGGTCTATGTATGGTTTATAAAGATTTTCTAGGTTTTTTCTTTTTCTTTTTCTAGTATTTCATGAAACTTAGTATTCAGGTTTGTTTCACAACTATATCTTATATATTATTTTAAGCACATGCTTCAAAGTTGAACTTTTGGAAACCCTAGTAACCATCCCTGTTTGTGTGTGTTTTATACAGGTACATGCTCTGGATCCATTACAAGTGAAGAACATGGATCTATATTCATACCTCCTTGCCAAAGAAGACCAAGTGAAAGATTTACAAAGGTGAGTTTCTGTGACATATCTTCATCTTTTAAAGGTGAGTTCCCAGAATAAATTTCAGAGTAACGACAAGATTTATAGAAGAACCTGTTCCCCAATTGCACATGTATGTGTTGTCATTAAGAATGCATTTTTGTTGCAAAAAGAAAACAAATTTAGATATAATGGTACAGTAGGGTGTAGGTGGTTTTGGTGAAACGGCTTACTTCACATTTTTATTGAATATAGTGAAGGATGTTTATTATCTTTGAGGATTAATGCTATTGGTATTTTTCATGTTAACAAAATGACAGATATAACTGAAATAACTACTGATCTCTAAAGAGTCAATTGTCACTTATTTAATTGTCCCTTACTTTTGGAGCTAAAGGGGGATAATAGATAAGGCATGTCTCTCTGTCCCAATAATTCCCAATAGTAGGTCTTGCTCTGCCGTGCAAGTGCTATCACCAATGGGATAATGTCATGAGGTTTCTTGGTTTTGATTTCTAAACTGCTTTAATTCAGTAACTGCACCTAAAATGGTTAGATTTGAATCAAAACAGATTAAGAATGAATATCCATATTGATCTTATTCAAAGTCTTGCGCCAAGTACGTCAATGACAAACCTCAACAATGGATTACAGCTCATTGTTCTAAAGCAGGGGATAGAAGTTCTAAGAATTTACTTGTTTTCATAAGAAATTTGATCAGTTCAGTTCTGATCGTCATTCAGTCTATTTGGACACAAAACGTAGATTACTTAAATAGTTAAGTAATAGTTCAAGTAACACTATACATTGACTCTAAGTGGAAACACTTCATATCCAACAATTTTCTAAATGTTTGGAAAACATGATAAATGTCAAAATGAAATACAACCCTCTAGAACAACAGTTGGCATTTAAGATGATTACATGACTTCATTGCCAATCAAACAAATCTGCTTTTGTATAAAAAAAGGATCAGAATCAGTATATTCAGCGATGACTTTTGGCGTTGAAGGTTGTCCCAGAGACTGATGAAGATCACGGAATATGCTCCAGAATCATGGATCTCCATAGGATACTTCTCCATGGCGACCCACAAAGAATCTCGCACCAGGACAGTCTACTTTGCACAAAAAGTATGACCATTAAATTACTTATATTCATGCTGTGGTGATTTACCATGTATACTGATGGATATTTTGAAAGCTTTTCAAATGATATTTTACAGATTTTCACAGTTATTCAAAATTATGTTTTATACACAAAATTTGATTCTTATACACATGTGTTTCATGGTAAATAAACAAGGTAGGTATGTGTACACAACTAACATTCAAGTTTCATGGTAAATAAACAAGGTAGGTATGTGTACACAACTAACATTCAAGTCTGTCTAGTCATTTCCTCATCTTTATATGGCTGTTAGTATTGTTACAGCAATATTTGTGGCATTGATTCCCTGTTTAGCAATAATTATTTTTAATATCATTTCAGGCCAACAACTTGGATTCGTTTAACATAGAGGCCTATCTACTTAAGGGGGCTGCACTATTAGAGTTAAAGAAAAGTCAGGACGCCTCCCTCCACTTCCAGGAGGCGCTGAGATTAGCACCTCACCGATATGAGGCCTACCTAGGTATAAATCACACATATCTTACTGTTTTTCATGGATTACATATATCAGATTTATATGAAGACCACCAAATTTATATATCAGGCATTTAAAGAAATATGGTAACTTGTCTCCTTTATTTGTTGAACCTCTCACATCTCTGTAATTTATCGTCTAAACCATGTTTTTAGCTATTAAAGTGGTCCAAAGATTTTATATAATAACCAACATTCAAGAATTCTTTTTAACTGTGAAATGTTTTCCGAAGTTTTCATACATGATATAACCTACATTTTTATTTACGGTCACTTTCATAAAACAGTAACCTTGAAGTACTGTAGTGCTTTTGTTTTGACAGTCACCGTACACTTTATAGGTATTTTGTTTTGACAGTCACCGTACACTTTATAGGTATTTTGTTTTGACAGTCACCGTACACTTTATAGGTATTTTGTTTTGACAGTCACCGTACACTTTATAGGTATTTTGTTTTGACAGTCACCGTACACTTTATAGGTATTTTGTTTTGACAGTCACCGTACACTTTATAGGTATTTTGTTTTGACAGTCACCGTACACTTTATAGGTATTTTGTTTTGACAGTCACCGTACACTTTATAGGTATTTTGTTTTGACAGTCACCGTACACTTTATAGGTATTTTGTTTTGACAGTCACCGTACACTTTATAGGTATTTTGTTTTGACAGTCACCGTACACTTTATAGGTATTTTGTTTTGACAGTCACCGTACACTTTATAGGTATTTTGTTTTGACAGTCACCGTACACTTTATAGGTATTTTGTTTTGACAGTCACCGTACACTTTATAGGTATTTTGTTTTGACAGTCACCGTACACTTTATAGGTATTTTGTTTTGACAGTCACCGTACACTTTATAGGTATTTTGTTTTGACAGTCACCGTACACTTTATAGGTATTTTGTTTTGACAGTCACCGTACACTTTATAGGTATTTTGTTTTGACAGTCACCGTACACTTTATAGGTATTTTGTTTTGACAGTCACCGTACACTTTATAGGTATTTTGTTTTGACAGTCACCGTACACTTTATAGGTATTTTGTTTTGACAGTCACCGTACACTTTATAGGTATTTTGTTTTGACAGTCACCGTACACTTTATAGGTATTTTGTTTTGACAGTCACCGTACACTTTATAGGTATTTTGTTTTGACAGTCACCGTACACTTTATAGGTATTTTGTTTTGACAGTCACCGTACACTTTATAGGTATTTTGTTTTGACAGTCACCGTACACTTTATAGGTATTTTGTTTTGACAGTCACCGTACACTTTATAGGTATTTTGTTTTGACAGTCACCGTACACTTTATAGGTATTTTGTTTTGACAGTCACCGTACACTTTATAGGTATTTTGTTTTGACAGTCACCGTACACTTTATAGGTATTTTGTTTTGACAGTCACCGTACACTTTATAGGTATTTTGTTTTGACAGTCACCGTACACTTTATAGGTATTTTGTTTTGACAGTCACCGTACACTTTATAGGTATTTTGTTTTGACAGTCACCGTACACTTTATAGGTATTTTGTTTTGACAGTCACCGTACACTTTATAGGTATTTTGTTTTGACAGTCACCGTACACTTTATAGGTATTTTGTTTTGACAGTCACCGTACACTTTATAGGTATTTTGTTTTGACAGTCACCGTACACTTTATAGGTATTTTGTTTTGACAGTCACCGTACACTTTATAGGTATTTTGTTTTGACAGTCACCGTACACTTTATAGGTATTTTGTTTTGACAGTCACCGTACACTTTATAGGTATTTTGTTTTGATAGTCACCGTACACTTTATAGGTATTCTGTTTTGACAGTCACCGTACACTTTATAGGTATTTTGTTTTGACAGTCACCGTACACTTTATAGGTATTCTGTTTTGACAGTCACCGTACACTTTATAGGTATTTTAGGAAATAGTGACAATTTGTAATAGCAGACACCACAGATCTACAAAATGTTGTGATTTCAGGCCTCATCAACTGTTACATGGCTAGTCACCGTACTAGAGAAGCTCTCTCCTGGGCTGGAAAAGCCATCAAAATTCTAGGAAATAATGCCAGAACTCTCACAGTAAGTGTAGCTTGGTCTTGGTTCACTGTAACTAACAAACCTCAGGGCAGTTGTTACCTTTATGACATTTTTACCAGTGAAATACAAGGTTTTATGTTAAAAATAAAATTTATGTTTTTTAACTGTGATAAATTTATTATTTTCACACTAAACTAATTATATAACCAGTCAGAATTTAGGGTTCAGGGTGTAAAAATAACAACAAAAAATGTTAATATTGGTGACTTGATAATAGCTTTAATGTTTCTCATTGTATAAATAGCGGTACAAATTCCCCTATATCATCAGTATTTGTGGGAGATGGCCTGGACTACATTTATTTTCATTCTCCTGTGTTTACACCAATCATACACCCTATTAACGTCACTCAGTAAATGCATCTTTACTTTATCTCTCTATCAAAGTATTGAGATGATGTGTAGAGGTAAATTTCGTTATTATTTTTCAGCTGTATGCGTCAGTGCTGTCTAAAGAACCCACCATGACTGCAAAGGTATGTTCAGCATATAGTTGTACAAGTAACATAAAAAGTCTGTTAGGTACTTCGCCATTTTTACCTTCATTTAAAAAAGAATAAAGTTAAAACTTGATTTTAATGAAGACATATTTATCTAAAGTGGTAATGTTACCAACAACAGTCGGTATCTACATCTTATCATTAAATGTGTTGAATCACATTTTAAACTTCCTCATAGCGTTTAATGTTAAGATTACACTTTTTATACTAAAATAAAATGAAAATTCTCACAAAAGTTTCATGTTTTAATGAGTTATATAGTTTGCCAAATTTTATATTATCTGGAAAGGTCCGGCAAGAGCTATTCATCTGCGGGATTTGTTGTTAGGATTTCTGTGTGAAACACATTGAACTCTTCACAAATTGAATCTATTTCTATAAAGAATATAATAGAGCTTATTGCTGTCACTGTTTATATTTTGCTTGATGTAATTCTGGATGTAATAAACATTGTTTTGCTATACTTATTCCTTGTTTGCGCAGTGATGTTGTTCTCATATTAAATAAAACAATAATCAGGTAAAATTAAATAATTGCTGGTCTGGTGGCCCATGATAAAATTATTTCTTGCATTAACACTATAAATAACTGGAAACCATTCACACTATAAACAGCATCAATTATATTCAATTATAACTTTTTTTCAGCTATTATTTAGATTCTTTAAACGAAAATAAATCATTGTGTCTTTTTTTTTTGCTTAAATATATTGATCATAGAAATCCAAAAATGCAAACAATATACTATTTCATTTTGCTGGTCTTAACAAGTCTGAGTTACATGGATATGTGTTTATTTTCAAGGCTAAACCCTACCTGGAGAAGGCGATGAAGATGGACCCGAATTTCCTCGATCCTGTGTATATAATGGCAGACATTCTAACCAGAGAACATCAGTATGACAAAGGGATAGAACTGTAAGTCTTAGACAAAGAGCAAGGAGGGCGTAATAAGGGGATCTGTAGGGACACATAGTTAATATAAAAGGTCATTTTGAGGATCTCAGAACTGTAAGTCTTAGACAAAGAGCAAGGAGGGCGGTTGTAATAAGGGGATCTGTAGGGACACATGGTTAATATAAAAGGTCATTTTGAGGATCTCAGAACTGTAAGTCTTAAACAAAGAGCAAGGAGGGCGTAATAAGGAGATCTGTAGGGACACATAGTTAATATAAAAGGTCATTTTGAAGATCTCAGAACTGTAAGTCTTAGACAAAGAGCGAGGAGGGCGGTTGTAATAAGGGGATCTGTAGGGACACTTAGTTAATATAAAAGGTGTAGATCAGGGGGATTTTGAGGATCTCAGAATAGTATTTCTGAGGCAATGGTAGATCCAAGCGAATAGCAGTGATAGTAATTTTAAAAGCCTCAGATAAGTGAAGATCAACAAGTTTGTGGAGTAATCTAGGGATTGTTATTCATAGACAAGAAATGATTATCAGGGAATGAATTTTTGGGAGAATCTAGGGACCTCAAGACGGATATAAGAGTGGATCTTGGGTTTGGTTAGGTTGTTGTAGGGGAATCAAGGGTCTGTAAGTCGGGGACAATGGTAGACCAACAGGGATTGCAGGGGGATTTAAGATAAGGGTGGATTGTAGAAGTAAAGTAATGACCACAAGTCCCATATAAGTTTGTATCGAAGAGATACCTGAAATTTAAAACAGCTTGGTCCTTTATGAATTGGGAAAATATAGTATTATACGCCCGTCGAAGACGGGGACGTATTATGTTATCACGTGAGCGGGCG